GAAAGGAATGTAGCCAATACATAAGGGCAATGATTCGATGAGAAAATAAGAGTGTGGGGGTCCGATGTTACGAAGTAGACAACTCAATCTAAACTATTTATGTAGTCTATAGTTTGAATAGCAAGTTATAATCCCCTCCACATCTTTTTATTGTTTGCACTTATAATTTGTGTGTGTGTGTCTTTATACTTTCCACCCTATAAAACTTCGTTGGCATTTTCTTCTCTTACACCCCAATTATCATATTCTTAGACCTCTTTTTTCCTTTTACAAAGTTAAATTTTTCTATATTCCTCTTTCTAATTATAAGCTACTTATCTAGCTTTTTTTCGTTTTTCCGGTAAGAGATACTATGTATCATCCCACAAAAGTATATTACAAATTTACTTGTAGTAAAGCTAAAAGTTAATTAGTTTACCATCTTGATGTAATGATTCTTTATCGATATTAGCTTACAAATTTACTTGTACTAGTAACCTAAGTACAATTCACTCGTTCTACCAAAAAAAGTACAATTCACTCTTTCTACCAAAAAAAGTACAATTCACTCGTACTAAATCTAAGCGAGGTGGTGCAGTGGTAGCTTTTTTCAAATGGTTAGAATCTTTTCTTATAACCATAAGGTGATCTAAACTTTTACCAGATGTCTAATCTTTTTAGAGTGAGTGATAGTTCAGTAATTCACTCACTTAGTTTTCTAATGGATATAAAACATGATACAATTTTGACTATTCGAAAAAAAAAGTTAGATTCTTAATTGTAGTTCTTTTTGTCAATGCTAATTTCTCTTCTCTTATGTAAATAATAACTGCATTTGGAAAAAAAATTATTATAGACCAATCAATTAATTCTGACTTTTGTTTTTGTTTATTGACTTGTCATTTGTCATTGCGATATAACTTAATTCATGAACCGTATCCAAAACATCTCATCTTCTGCAGTGTTTACTATATGGTGAGTACATCATGTACAGATAGAAACTCCTTTAATTAAATTTAGTTGAGATTTAATCAACGAATGATCTATTGAAACGTGTATATCTTTTACATAGTCTTTCTTACTAAACCCAAAAAGCTAACATAGTGCACAACAAAACATTGTAATAATGTTACATAGTAATATAACAGTTTATGACCGTGCAGTCTAAGATGCTTCATTATTCGTTGATGATAGATTTGATTTCCAACAACTTCCAAGATTGTTTGTTTTGCTCGAAGAGAAAACAGTCTCTAACGGTTCAGATCTCTGAAATTTTGGATCGATCATAGATCATAACAATTCAATAGTCCAAAAAGATTAAACGAAATGTAGTAGATGTGATGAACAAGAAGAGAAACCGAGCTGTGAAAACCCGTTTTAGCCAACGAGTTGTGTTTTCCTCAGCCTATCCATCTTCACAGCCAAATCCGCGACTTTATCTTTCCGGCCTTCATCGAGAAGCGCTTGTTTAAGACAGCTAAACATTTGTCCCGGTGCCTTGATACCCACATCCAACATCTCATTGAAATAATCACAAGCCTCGTCTAATTTGTTCTCATGGCACAGAGCTGTGATCAAACTTGAGAACATGTGCATCCCTGGAAGAACACCTTTTCCTTTCATCTCATCCCAAATTTTGATCGCCATATCCAATCTCTCATTGTTACAGAACATTCTCACCATGATCTCGTAAGTACTCACCGTCGGTTCACAACTCATCTTCTGATAAACTTCATAGGCTTCTTTTGTCCGCTGCATTCGGATCAAATGATGAAGGATTATATCATAAGTTCTAGCATTTGGCCCGATCCCTTTCGATCTCATCTCTTCCACGACCTTGAACACGTCTTCCATTCGCTGTGACCAGCAATAAGCTCCGACTAGTGCATTGTAAGTGGGAGCTTCAAGAGGAAACCCGGAACTCTTTGATCTCTCGAAGAACTCAAGGGCTTGGCTCAGTTTCTTCTCGGAGCCAAGTCCATTGATCAAACTACAGAAAATGTGAGGACTTGGCTTGCAATTCCTCTGTTCCATTTCATTAAACAATCTAATAGCTTCATCATACTTTTTCGCCTTGCAATGTGCATTGATAATGATACCGTAAGTGACTACATCAGGCTCGAATCCTTCATCTTTCATCTCTCCATAAACCTCATTTACTCTCAAAAGATTCAACTCCTGACCCCAACCTTCAAGTAAAATAGTATACGACTTAATATCAGGCTCGAACCTTTTCTTCTTCATTTTGTCGAACACCTTCTGTGCATCCCCAACATTCCTAGATTTGCTCAACGTATCAAGCATTCGATTGAAATCACTAGGTTCCATCTTAAACCCATACTCTTCCATCTTATGAAACGCAGTTATAGCTTCCTTAACCTTCCTTGCTCGAGCGTATCGTCTAGAGATGAGAGCGAACGTGTCTTTGCTCAAAAGCTTCTTCCGTTTCATGTCTTCTACTAAACTCCAAACAAGTTTGAATTGCTTGATCTTACCTAATGATTCGATCAATGCATTGTAACTCGCAGTGTTGTGCTTGAAACCCTTTTGATTCTCTGCCCATTTGAAAACAGACAAAGCCAAAACACCTGCGTTGCTTAGCTTCTTCAGTACTTCCTCGATTAGTTCTGGTGAAAGTTTAATCGAAGCTTCGTTGAGAAGATTTTCGAGGCTTGAATCCGTAAATTTGGACAGGATCTTGCAGATTCTCTCTGCGTCTTGCGAAACTCTGTCCTCTTCATCATCAAGAGCAGAAGCAGAGGAAACTTGGGTTTCAACAGAACCACTGTGTAATGATCCGTAAACAGTCAAATTTGAAGCTTTTTGAATCCATGGAATCGATTCGAGACCCAAGCTCTGTTCTCCGACAGAACATACTCTCCAGTAGACACGACGAGATATTTGTCTTCCGGGTAGTTTCACGACGAAGCGGAAGAAGCGAGAGAAGACCATTAAAGGAGAGATTTTTAAGATTCCACTTTTTTTTCTTAGACCCTTAAACCCTAAAAATCGCCGTCTCCATTAACTAAGAGATACAACAAGAACGAATTGTGAAAAAGGTAGACGACGAGTGATGAAATTTAGTGGCTTTAAACAAAATCTGGGAAAGAGAAAAAAAAAATCTCTCATTTTTTCTCTTCTTTCCCTCTTCTCCTCGTATAAATACATTAGCCACTGTTTGCCCAAAAGAATTTAACCTTACAGACTGAACTGAAAAACAATGTAATCTCTCTCTCTCGTGTTGTGTCCGTATAATGATGATACCCCAAACCTCATTTCCTCTTCACTTGCATTGATTCGATTGTGTATTCAAATCATCAAGAAAATTCGTTATTGTCTCGTCTAGCTTCTTAGCCTGAGGTCCAGCTTTGACCACGTTTACTTCGTCCCATTCCGAGCAAGGATCTGTCCACCAGCTGCTGTGGCTAGCGCACCAAGCTCCGGGGGTGACCCGGTAACGTCCACGTTTCAAGATCTCTCTGTCGACCATGTCGAGGACAGGGTCGTCTTTCTTGAACTGCCGGGCGAATGCTGCTCCGCTTTGAGCCATTTGATCGAAATCTGAGACGCTAAGGAAGTGCGGCTCCATCTTTGGCGGACTGTCCCATATCATGTACCGTAAATCCCCATTGACTGTCGTGTTACTGAACTCGGGGGCGTTGCAGATCACCGTGTGGAAGTAGCATTCTTCAGCGAGAATGACGTTGTTAAAATACATGAGGAGGATTCTCGGTAAATTGTCCCAACCGAAGATGCAATATTCTAGGAAAGATCTGCTCAGTACAATCCAAGGCGAGCCTGCGCGAATATCACAAACCAGCCACACATACCTATTTTGTTAGAATGAAGTTGTTACACATATTAGGAATGCAGCCACAAAGTATTATTATAAGCTAATGAATCTTTTGCCTGTAAAGACTTTGAAAGCATCTGGTGTTGGTCGTTTCTCGGTAGCAGTAAAAAGCTGAGTTCTTCTGGCTAAGTAAAGCGCTGGATCGACAACGATAGGCTTGATTCTCTGAGATCTACAGAAAGATCCATTATCAGAATCCCCACCAAAGGAACATATTTAATAGACCGAGAAAAGTCTTTACTTACTCTTTCCAAGCAAGGTCACTAGTATGATCAATGAAATTGAGGCTTCTATTCACCGAAGCAAACACATGAGACAAGTCTGGAAGAGAAATCATGAGTGGAAAAAAACGTTAAAATTTTGAAATCCAAGTCATATGAAGACAAACAGATTCAGTGGAGTAATAAATTTCTAAATCTAAAGCATGTATTTTTCCCATAAAGAGATCAATGTCGTAATCAATGACAGTGATTACAAATTCCACTATCTTTCCACAAAAAACGAGTACATTGATTCCACGAGTATATCACAGTTGCTACAATCTCAAGAAGCTACAAGCATTACCAATCACAGACCAAACAAAACAAGCTCATTACATACCGTCTTGAGTAATGAGGGGATAATCCAAGGCACTAAGCTCAATGAACCAATTCCAAGTACGATCAAGCTTCAACAAGATCGAAACAGCGTGAAGAGTAGCAGCGATTTTAGAAGCACCATTATCAGAAAGACGATCGACTTTACCTAACACATCCACATTCCCAAAAGCATTCACTGCAGGCACAGATTTCAAGTCTGAGAGAAGAGCTAACCTCTCAGCATCAGTAGCTTCACCTCCTAGATGCAGAAGATACCGATTCCTAGGATGATAAACCGCGAGCAACAACCGAAAGATCCGGTCATTGTCTCCACGACCACCGGTTATGTAATAAGCGAAAGCAGGTGGGTAATGAGACCCATGACGGATTGCAGAAGGGAAAGGCTTAGAGCTAAAAGCAGAGATTGAGTATAGTAAGAGAAGAAAAACAGAGAGGAATACAACAGAGAAGAGAGTGAAAAGCCATTTCTTTTCAGCTCCCATCGTTTTACTTCTTCCACCTCCGATTTGTTTCAATCTGGCTCCGATTGAGCATATATGCGTTTTTAAACCGATCAAAAATCAGAACTTTAGAGCTCATACATGGATCTTCAGACACGAGGAAGACGAGATCTCGTGAGATCGAACATAGATTAGGATGAGACAAGACGAGATCTCAGTGCCGGAGAGAAGAAGCAACGAATAGAAAAATGGAGCTTAAAGAAAGAGAGAGAGAGTGAGAATGAATAATAATAAAGGTTAGGGTTTTCAGACGTAACCAAAAGATTTAGACTTGGAGGCTCTGAAGAAGACAACGGATTCTTCAGGTACAAAATTTGTTCGATCTTCCGTCTCTCAAGTCGGTTGGGAAAATTTTAGGAAACTTTTAACTCCATTGTTAACAGTAATATCCAGCTTTCTTCCACCACTCGACCTTACATCGCGTGACGTCCACGCTCCTCAAGACATCACGTAGGACAAACCTGCGTGGCTCTCACGCGCCTTTAAGAGAGAGTAGGAAATAAAAGTGGTTCGGGTTGTTAACCGGTCCGTGGGAGAAGATTTACTTTTGATAATTGAACGAGTGGGACAAGATTAACACAATATTCTAGATTTTAATTGCCTAACTCCTTAATTAGTAGTAATATATACTGGACCATATCATTTATAATTTTTTTTGTTTTACTCTTTTGGATCTTGAAAACAAATTATTCATACACAAAGACAAAGTCTTTAAATATGGAAATATATGTTGTTCTTATTATTGTTGTTACACAGAATTGACTTCATCTTCATCATCACTTCCTCCACTTCCACG